GGGGGAGAGACGGAGGGGGGGAGGGAGCCACGTTAGGGCTGAGGCCCGCGGGTTCGAGAGAAATAAGGGAGGAGGGGGAAAGATCGATTTAGGTTTAGGGATTAATAAATATTATTAATTGTAATAATAATCATAATAAAATATTATTTATTATTATAATTAACACTTAAATGTGTAGTTTTCCCCAAGACGTGCCGTTGCAATGAAACAAACAATCCTCTAGGCAAAATCAATGTTCCGGACGCATCAGCGCAGTCGATTTTGTCATCCAGAGTCATTTAGATGACCTCTTTGACGATTGAGATGAAAACGCGTCGCGACTCGAATCACGTCAAAAACTCGGCTCGAATTCGATTAAACAGGATGACGAAGAGCGCGACGACGCCAAATCAACGAGTACAGTCAATCTTATGGCCGGCAGTCCTATAGGAATACTCCCTGAGTTCCTTCAGAGTAGCCTTATCTGCTAAGCAATAATGGTCAAAACTACTATATGGAACGTCAATTCGAGTGAAGAAAAGTTCAAAATTGCTAACGGGGAGGACTCCTTCATTAGTTTTCTAGGAGTAGTCGACAGAAAGGTCCTACGGCTAGATTCTAGGCTACTAAGGAGGGGAAAACTGCGCCTCGATCGAAAGCGAGGTCAACAAGATTGAACTGGTTAGAATTGAGGTTGAACTGCGGGCTTGTAAATTGGCCTGGGTTTTAAAGAACTGGCCAGTTCTAATATTGTTCAGTTTTATCCTTTTTTATTTCGTTCCATTGATTAAAAATAAGATATTTAAATTAAATATATAGAGAATTGTTGTCTCAAAAAATTTGATTTGGAATATTATTTAAAATATTTAAAAGTGAAGTGTCTTAAAATATTATTTTTTAAATCGATAAAAATAATATTATTGCATCATTATCATATAACTTAAATTATATTCAAATATTTTTAATATTTATTATGCCATCCATCTCCAGTTGAATCATTAAACTTTGAAACTTGACATTTGATTCAATGTTTGGTGATGTTTTCACAACCTTGGGTATTGCTATCGAAATTATATTACAGTTGTTACTGCTTTCTCATTATTATTATTTCTTCAGGAAATAAATTTTCATCCTGAAGGACATATGTTGCATTATGGTCAACAAGTGCAGAATTCCACGTTGGAATTGGTGTGGGGTGAATTGAAGGCAGTCTGTGACTTTGCGAAGGTTCGTGAAGCAGTAAATCAGTTCAACCTCCGCAATCGTTGGAGGAAGCGCGGTGTTGCAATGATACCTACTAAATTTGGAATCTCCTTTACAACAAAATTTATGAATCAGGTATGTAGCTGAATTTCTTGACATTATTTTCTGTTGCCCAAGCGAGGTTATACTGGTTTTTTAGTAATATTTAACTTGCAAAGGGATATACTGAATGGTATTAATTGTGGGAATAATTTCTATTATTGCAATACAGACTTTCTTCAACATTTTGCTGGTATGTTCTAAAATAAATGAATTAATGTTCATTAATATCTTTCTCCTGAATTTTTTTATTAGAGAAGTGGTAAAACGACGAGTCCATTTTATTTAAGAGAGAGAAGGGTAATTGGGGAGGAAAAGAAAGATGAGTTAGAACTATACATAATGATTCTTCAAGCTATTGATGTTAAACCTGAAGGGAGTGTTTGATAGAATACTATTTACGGGATTTAGCTGTAGATTTAACTTACATCGCGCCAAACATAAAAAGAAAATAGAAATTAATCCAACTCTCTATTAAATTTATCGCATTCCGTCGTTATTCCTCACATTTTGTCTACTTTACAATGTAAATTCAGATTTATTAAATCTAATTATTGGTCAGATTTACTGGACGTCGCTCTTCATAGCTCGCGAGGTCTACAAAGATCATTTTTTATACAATATGCCCATGTATTTCTAGTTCTATCTCTGCCCTACAAAGATCATTTTTTATACAATATGCCCATGTCTTTCTAGTTCTAGTTCTATCTCTGCCTTTCTTAACATAAGTCAAATTTAAAATATCTATTCTCCCAACAGGATCATCAGATGATGGACGTTTAATGTGACCAAACAATCTAAGACGACTCTCTCTAATGCTGTCTGCCATTGGAGCTACGTCGACCCTACGCAAATATATTCATTTTACATTTTGTCTCTAAGTGTGAAGCCACTAAACCACTTAGCAGTCTCATCTCAGCAATAGTTAAGTTTGTTTTGAGCTTCTCTTTTAAAGGCCAACATTTTGCGCCATAGAGCATTACAAGTTTCACCACCATCTTATAAAATTTGCCCTTCAATCTAAGCGGTAATTTTCTTTCACACAATAGGCCCGATGCATTCCTCCAATTCAAACATCTTTATCTTAAAACTCTTAATCTTAAAATCTAGAACTAGAAATCAATGTTAAGTGCTTAAATTTTCATTAATGATCTTACAATATTTACATTATCGACGATCTCTTTTTCTCAATATCAAATATCAATTTGTGTTGTATTATTTTCATTCTATAAGTAATAATATGCTCAGTATTTTTTAAATAAAATACTAGCGATAAATAAATCATAAGCTAAAGCAAAATCTAATATTAGTCTTTCTTCTTCATTAATTACTTCAAAATCATAACCACCATGAATATTTCTAAAATATTCTACTATTCTACCAACATGTCCATTTAAATTTCCTCCAATAAAAATTCTTTTTTCATGAGATATCATTTTTATAATTCTGTTAGGTCATTTAAAAATTTTTCTTTTGAATTTATATAAAAAACTAATTGAGAAGCATAAGTACTTGTAATATTAAAAAATTTTGTATCAACAAAAATCTTTAAGATTAATTCTATTTCCAATTTTATTAATTTTTACAACTTTATTTCTCAAACTTTTATCTATAATTATACTTACTATATTTCTAGTACAACTCTCTAAACAAAATACCAATGTTGAAAACTTAAGCTATCAATTTCCTTAGTATTTTCTTCAACCCATTTAGTTTCTTGAATGCCTAAGATGTTTATCTTCATATGAACTAACATATGAATTAGTTTCATTAATTTACTTGTGAGAGTATATATATTCCAAGATCCTATTATAATGTTAGTTTCATGGACTAACTTCTTTACCTCATTCGTCTGTAATGTGAAAACCCTTGCTTATTTGACACTACACTCGGACACCAGTGTAGTGACCCTTGCACATTTTTCGCTGTATTCAGACTATACAACATGCCACTTTCAAGCCCTAGCATTCACCAAAGAATTTAAAGGATTCATGTCATAATTTTTTGGCAAATTTTACGTTGATACGTTGACTGTCGATTAACTAATACAACACTTCACTTTTCACATTCGAAGCTTGAGATTTGACAATGACATTCTTTCTATTTTGGATATAATTCATGTAAAAAGTCAGATTGCAAAGCTTTTTGTCGGCGATAAAAAGTTGGGGTGTGGTGAGTCGCCCGTAGGAAACTGTTGGTCGCTGGAATCGAAATCCCGTCGCCCGCTTCGGAAGAACGTTTTAATTTACATATAGATTTAAGTTTAGAAAAATATGAAATCAAATTGACCCCATAATTTTCACAGTTTAAATGAAAGAACACTCTACCTCGAACCCTGTATATATCCCGAGGGATAAACACAATACTTGACACAATACTGGAGGATGAGACTCGACCAAATAAACTAAGAAATATATGACGTCCGTTTGGTCCGCGAAATCGTTTTATTTGCCGAAAAATTTCTCTATTTAATACGAAAAATTAAATAGGGTTTATTTTAAGTCAGGTTTAGAAAAGCTTCATATAAGAACAAACCTCTATAGTTAATTATATCTTAAATGACTGAAGTCACTTAAGAATACTCTCGATAAAAATTAGGAAAAATTATCTTCAAGGACTTCAAAATGAGTAGACTTTTCAACGAAATCAGCTCTCGATAAAAATTAGGAAAAATTATCTTTAAGGACTTCAAAAGGAGTAGACTTTTCAACGAAATCAAATTAAGATGTGTGAAAGGGGAATGACTCAAATTTGGAACATTTATTACAGAATCCAAAGAAAGAAGAACTAGGGGATGCCACAGATCCAGAGGAGATTCTCGGTGACTTCCTAGTGTACCTTATGGTTTGACTTCAGTTTCAAGGAGAAATATTCAAGTGTTTTATCATGTCAATTTTATCTATTTAGGGCTTACATTCATGTGAAACGATCACACAAATAACCTAGAAGATGTGACGATCTAGGTCGTAATAAACGACAACCTCAGAGTCTTAAAACGAGTTAGGGCTTAGATCATACATCAGAGCAATACAAATGTCTAAAGAAATTGTTGGGGATTTATGTTGCGCTAGTCGAATAACATCGAAATTCTATGGATTGTTGTTTTAATTTCCAGGAAAAATTTAGTTGGGGAAGACATGTTCTGCTGTTGAAGATGGTCGTGCTGCCCACCGCGCTAGTTCCAAGCTCCTTGTCGCGACGAGTTTAAGTTTTCTAGGGTGTCAGGTTATAATGTCAAATCCAGTGGCTCTATAGTTGTAGTTCTTCAGATATTTTATAGGGAACATGTTCAAGTTGTATAGTGTATAGCATAACAGTAGAATATGTAGCACATGACAAACAGTAGAGTATGCAGTAACGAAAGCAATACAAACATGCGGTGTAAAGAAAAGTAAAAGGTACAACAAAGAAGTGATTATAAGATAATAAACATAAAACAAAACTGTATATCTTGGAGATCCGCTGTTCCTTAGGTGTAATTGATGCAACAGGTACAAACAACAAAACTTGAGTAAGCAGACTGAAATGCTTTATATGAACGAAAGCAAAGAAACGTCACCCAAAAAACTCGGGAAAGAACGGTAAATGACCCGTACGAGGAAATCGACAAAGCGATAAATCGATGAAAATCGATGAAAATTGTAGAAAACACGATAAAATCCCGAAAGAGGACCACGAGTGCTTTGTCCAAAAAATCCAAGGAAAACATATGAGAAAGTCTGAAAAGAGGGGGGACCGCAAACGCTCGGGTCGGGGCTAGACTCAACTATATATTAATACTCGATGGTCGTCGAAGGCTACTCGGTCACCCGGATGTATAAAACCCGTCACTCAACTAGAAGGATGCCCTATCGAACCTAACTCAGGAGGGTATTCCTTAGCCTAAACAAGTGATCAATAGGTGGACAACCGATGTTTAAAATGTATTTTATATTTTCAGCATGCACATATGTTTCAAACATGCAAAAAATGAACTATATCAATTTTGTTTGTAGCGAAAAATGTATTTTTGTTTTAGAAAAAGGTGTATCTGCTCTTATTAAATTTGTTTTTTATCAATTTTGAAAAGTAGTTGTCCATGAGTCGATCGCGCTGTCGGGCATAAGACTATCAACAACCTAAGAAGGTTCGGGTCAACTCTCGCTAGTCTTGTGTCGGTGAATGATATTGTCATCCTACAGCTCATCGGGTTCCTGAATTGGATCCTGATGGGTTCCTGAATCGGCTTCCGGGGGGAAGTCGTAGGATGGAACATCATTCTGCTTTATCTCCGGTGTGCCTTTGTCATCACCGCCCTAAC